AAGTGGCCAAAGTGACAACATTTTTAATTGTACAAGCCAAAATCAGTCATGTTTTAATTTACGCTGACTAAAGCATTCGTGGTACTCTTTCACGCGCAGAATACAATAAGTGGAAACAATCCTGGAGTGAACAAATTCGTCACTAATTTAACAGAACTGTTTTTTTTTTTTTTGCGATGGAGAGACTTTCCAGTAACTTATCAGACATGAATAATTAGATTTCTGTTTACTTTGAGGAGTAAAATTTTGTCGAAGACCTACTAGGGGGATGCGTGACAACTGTTAAAAAAGAAAATTAGAACAAAGCTATTGAGCTGGTGAGTATCGTGCCTGGTCTTGTTCCATTGTCGATAAAGGAGATCCCTCTGAAAGGAAAAACTATAATTGTTTGTATTGAAGTTTTAAAAGTGGGCAATGAGACAAAGTTTTTAATTATACAAGTCAAAATTATTATGCTGAGACGAATGACACATTCGTGACACTCTGATCAAATTGGCTGATAATTAAGGGAGTTAGCGAAGAGCTTTGTGATTGATTTATAGGGTACTTTAAGTATTATAAGACTTGCAGATCCTAAAACAGACCACCACGCTAACTTAAGAAGACAACTCCTTAAGGTAAGTGATGTTTTTTTGTTCTAAATAGCGTTACTTGTTGCAATATCAATAGTTTGGTGGCTGTACTTGCCTTTTTTCACTCCATCTTTGGCAAGTCCAAATGAGACTCCAGATTTCCCCTTCTCAGAAAGTATGATGTAGCTCTTTATTGTGTGAATCGGCCGAAAAAAGTTACAAAGCAGATGGATAGAAGAAATTTTAATGGTGTAATAAATATTGCGTGCAGTTTAGCTTACAGCTTACGAATAACGCGTACAGTTGAACTGTTATAGTATGAAAAATCGAGTGTCGAATTATGTCAAAGGACGACATCACATGAGGCAACAGCTTAGAAGGAGCCTTCAGAATGCCTTTATCAATTAGATACCTAGGCTCCTCAATTGCATGTACATCACCACAGGGAGCAATCGATAAATTAATATTTGCATGAATGAATGGGCGAAAAATCGAACGCATCCAAGAGCGAGCCCTGCGTGCGGTCTTCAAAACAGCAACAGAGACATATGAGGAACTTCTTAAGCGTGCTAAGTTACCTACGCTTCATAATAGACGCTTACAGGACATAGCAATACTAATGTATAAAGTAAAGAACGATCTAGTACCTAGCTACATATCTGAGATATTTACTCGAAAGGGTACTCGTTATAACCTTAGGAATAGTGACTTTGAAATACCACGATTTAATACTATACGCCATGGTAAACACACACTTAGGTATCAAGGACCATATATCTGTTCCAAATTAGAAAATGGTATGCGTGAACTACCAAGCCTTAGCATCTTTAAAACTAAAATCCGTAGAGTTGACCTGGCCAGCCCAGTGGAAGACAGTGGCAACTGCTGCAATCTTTGCAGCACGTGATTTTTTTAATTATCTGCATTGTACAAGTATTTTTATGTTATCTGAACATTGTTAATATTTCTAAATATTTTTTAAATTTTAATGCATAGTTTATCGGCTATATTGTTACTTATTATGATACTGTACATAGTTTTTTATAAGTTTTGTAATAGTAGGTGTCCCCAATTAGCTCTATGAGCTAAATACATTGACACGGTAATAAAGATTTTATTATTATTATTATTACACGGTCCGTGTATGCGACAAAATTTAAAACCTATGGCGCGACGGATAAACTCAGCTGCACCACATTAGTGACTTAAGATTATCATTGGCTTCTTTTTCACCCCACCACTATTCTTAGCAACAAAGGTCGCCATTTCGTTTGTTTATTGCTCGCCAAAAACTATCAAATGCACTCAAAAGCCTAAAATCGAAAAAAAGTTTACAGGAATCGACCAATCGAGCGAGCGAGCGAGCGAGTGCCATTCCTCACATCGTATCTACAACTCGCTCTTGTGCATACGCGCAATTCACGGGTTAAAAAGTTAGAGCTACAGGTTTAGCAACTCTATCCTCTCTTTCATAATCAGGTGAAAAATTTTACGAAATAACAGTATTTCAACCTAAAACTACAACTAACAAATATACAATTTTTTTTATAATAAATTTTGAATTAATTTTTTAAACCTGAACTAGTGAGTAGCACTCTGCGAACAATAGCTGTAAAACTTCTTTATTCTACGACGCTTTTGGTTTGTCGTAAACTTCCACCGGGAGTTTTACAAATCAAAACTAAACAACTGTAATTACATAGCTAACGTCATAGCTAACGGCCATACGGCATGATTTTAGCAAGCTAGCTGCCAAGCTGGAATATCTTCCATCTGGTTATTGAAGTCTGAATTTCACCGGTGTCGATTTTTTTCATTTTCTGTCTTGTTACTTCAAGCACAGTATCGACAAAACTCTGCTCAGCCAGCGCCATATCGACGGAGAAGCATGGCTTTTAATCTCAAATGTTTACAATCGATGTTAACTTGACTTTCAGCTCTGGTAAAAAAGGCGAACAGTAATATCAAAATTTAAAATGCTAATAAGCTAGTTCCTTCGCCAGTGGTACTTGTTAGATGATCTGAGACCTTATTGCATCCCAGCACCGCTGGGATAAATGTTTAGCCAGTAAGGTTCCCAGAAAGTGCATCAACATTCCTTGGTTTTTATTAAGAAAAGTTTTGACAAAATGCATTCCAGTCTGCTGCACAAATAATGGACTTTTGACCCACAAATTAAAACTTATCTTTCCAGCTTGCATAAGACGTTTATTTTGACAGTTTTATTGACAATCTGTCGCATTAAATTGATTATTCCGACCCGTTTAAACCTCAAATTTACTTTTTGCCGTCTAAATGCTGTGGGGGGTTATTTGGAGTAATCGCTGGCAAACCTTCTCATTTAAGGATATGAGGGTTTTTTCAGTTTCAAATACTTCTCAGGCTATTTATTTATTTAATTGTTTATTTACATGTAAATGTGGCCATGGAGGGTTAGAGAAAAACTCTCAAGCAATTGTTCTTTGAAATTTGGAGTTGTCGCGCGTCAATTGTACCGGATATAAGAATACGTTAACTCTACTCGATGGTTTCGATTACAGTAAGCAGATATTTTGCGAGTTGTCACGTCTACAAATGAGCACAATATATATTCACATATGTTAAACCACGGAATAAGGTACTTTATCACTTTACTACTCTCAGTCATTTTCTAATGTTTTAGCTTCTAGTTTTCAAAATACTTCTCACGGCCGATTGCATAGGGCGTGTTCGACAAAAGAAAAGAAAAAACAGCAGAAACATTTGTTGATTTAAGTGAATCAAGCCTAAAAGACGAAAAAGGCAAAGTATGGATCGTTAAGTGCAGCCGTTTTCATTGCTGTGCTTTCCGTCGCCTGTACTTGAACGTAACTGGCCGTGGAATATTTTTTCCCGTTCCGTTGCCCTGATAAGAAAAAATGGCGTAATAGTAAAATGATAAGGAACAAGTACAAGGCCTGAAAGCTGAATAGATTTACGGGTCCACCTCCACTACATTAAGAATCGACTTAACCAGCGAACGCTATACTTAAATTAAAACGTACATGGTGACGACAAATTACAATTATGCTTGAAAAGCTACCATCGACGATTGAATGTAACATGTATAAACAGCCTCCAGAAAACAGAACATTTCAGACCTTAATGAAATGCATAGGTTTTTCCAAGCTTTAGGCCTTAGGGAAACCCAGCAGGAATATTTATGTGTATACGGTCTGTAATAGAGCATTTAGATTGTTGTTTTTGTTGGAAACAGTTGAATGTTTTAAATTTTTGCTGTAGGTTAATTATTTGTACTCGATTTTTTACAGCAGAAATATGTCGAGCAAGAAGATGTTGAACGAGAAGATATTTCATAGAGGAATAAAATAGTCTGGTAAGATTTTGCTTTGCCAGTGTATGGGGTCATTAGATTAGCATAAAGTGATCGAGTTGTGTTTCATTTTTCAAGAATCAGTCAGTTCTTGGCGTTCTAATTTTTCTTTCATATTTCAAAAAAATTTTAAAATATAACTACATATATACTTCATATATACAAATTTTTTTTTGTTGTTTTCCTTTTCTTTCTCCTTTTTTTTCGATAAGCAGCTGCAGTCAGAATGACGCTCGTTTAATAGGCTAGCTTTACTTGGGAAATTTATATTTACACAAAAGCTTTCGGGAAAACATCATTCATTAGCGTGTATGATCACTCATAATTAATTAGCCGATTATCAGAACGATAAAGTTTCCGATTCATTGCTTTCTTTTTCTTTCCTTTTTATTTTATTTTATTTTTTTCTTTTTTCGTGTTTCTTCCGTATGAACAATAACTCCGGCTAATCTCCACCTGCAGGCTGTCACTTTTTTAAAAATTCATACCTTCTAAATCACAAGGGGTCTACATGGTCATAAACTCAAAGAGCCAAACATCTCCGTTAATCATCACATTTAAATGAAATACAAAGCATTTTCCCTTGCGGATGGCACCAGAGTAAAGAAAAGATCCTTGCAGCGAGCTGCAATGAACAGAAATAGTAGAAAAGAAGCCAAAATAAATTCGGTCTACGGCGAGATTCGAACCCGTGCCTCCTAAGTTATAGTTGGCTTAGAGTAACAATGAGGAGATGGCTTTTTAAGGCTAAAGGTTAAAATATCTCCATTGCTGTCACCAGGAATTTTTTGTGATTAACTTGTTTTTTATCACTAATAGTTAAAATTTGACAATTTTCATGCTTAACGGCTAAAATTTTTGGCGGTTTTACGGCCAACGGTTTTCCCTAGTGAGACACTCTTGGGTGCTGTGACCAACTGAGTGACGATGCCATCCTTTGGCGGCGAGAGAAACTCTGAATTATATTAGTTGGTTATTTAAAAAATGAAGGATTTATGTAACATAGCACAAATTTTGTTTTGTTTTGATACCAAAAGGTTTCTCTGGTATTATCACATAAACAGCATCCCACTGCTATGGATCTCAACACATGGAATATGTTCTGGAGATTATGTTTTGGATTATTGGGAACTTTGATCGTTGCTGGAAATATTCTAATCATCTGGATGTTTTTTAAGCTGAGACGCCGAAAGCGTTCTTCATTTCTTCTGATCGGTTTGGGCGTGGCTGATTTACTGGTTGGAGTTTTAGCTATTCCCCTTTTCATAGCAACATATGAATCAGCTTCAATAACAACAGAGCGTATTTTCCACCTCATTGACATGTTTACAAGTATATCGTCCATTTATACACTTGCAGTCATTTCCTTGGAGAGAATGTTCGCTATCGGTTGGCATCTTCGTCACAGAACTACAAACTTTCGTGTTTATATCTGTGCTATTTCCATACCGTGGATCATCGCAGCAATATTCGCTGTTTTATTTAATAGAAAATTAAACTTCATTACAGGAGACAGCGTAATCCATCTTCTAGTTTTGTTTTCTGCAACGCCTTTATTAGTTATGTGTGTAGCGTATTTTGTTATTTGGAGGAAACAAAAATCACCAATATGTAACCATAACAATGTCATCAGAGAAGCGAAATTAGCAAACACATTATTTTTTATAACAGGAGCTTCTGTTTTCACTTGGCTTCCATTCCAGATTCTTATCCTGTTGGTAAATTTACAAATAACTGCAAACTTTTCTCATCTGCATATGACGACATTCATCATCAGGGTTTTACAATACAGCAATTCTTTCGTAAACGTAATCATTTACCCACTAAGAATTCCAGAATTTAAAAACTGCCTGCTACACTCACTTCGTTGTTGTGTGGTTCCCCATCGAGTATTTAGAGCGGGAGTTTTACCTTCAGTTGAGTCTGGTTCAGTTGTATCCTTAGTAAGATTTACAAGCACGCAGTTTTTATCACCGAGCTCTAAACTGGAGAGTGTAGTTTGATTGCTTTAAGTGATACAATTGAGGGGAAATCGTGTTCTTTATCATCTGTTTGAGTGTAAAACTAAGACACCTTAATGAATCTCAAACTAGTTCAAAGCCGAGGTAAACAGAGATGTATACTTACCGAGAACGAAAGTGTCGAGGGTGATATCAGACAGTTTCACATCAGCTGAGATAAATAGTCTAATAGTCTTGATATTCACCCCTTAAGATGAAGTATAAGCGGCAATATCATCAGACATAAATATCTCTCTAATTCGTACATCAAACCGGAAAACATCGTACCATGGTAACGCACGGAGATACGAAATTTCTCATATTTAAATACTTTTCAACACGAGAATAGAAGTTTGGTATCTCCAAGTGACCATGTAATATTCTATTTATTGTATAAACACCATTGAAATATAAATCAAAGGCTGTGCTTCGAAAGGCAAGATTTTTATATTAACATATTATTTTCACATGTTATCTTCACGTGAGAAGATATCATTTTTTTTGCACAAAAGCTCACCAGGTATTTCATCTGTGTTCATGTAATAATTTAAGTTTCAGCTGCCTGTGAAAGCAGCTTGTAAAGTAGTAATTAAAACCAGGCGCATAGTCATAAGGAGATTTTTATTTGCTCCCAAAAAAAACCTACTCCCGACACCAACTGGAACGAGGTAGAGACCACAAAAACAAGTTCAAAGGAATCGATTGCTGGGAACATATCAGAATACTGAATGCGGCTGAGAGTGAAACAAACAAATTAAGATTAGAACAGTCGGACTGGCTTTAGTGCCCTCCACCTTGAAGTGCACTCATAGTTGAAACGCACCCACAGAATCTTGCTCAAAAATTGTGCTTAATACACAGACACATTACTAAGGACAACTTTTGTTCATTTTCCAATTTATTTCCTAATTCTTCGCAGCTGTTTGACAAGCACTGGTAACTTATTACGACGAATTTACTTTCTTTTCTTTTTTAACTCCTACGATGTTGATATCTTCCAAATTAGCTGCACCTGCGAATTAAAATGAAATAGTTCTTCAAAACTGCTAAAATGGAAATGGACAAAAAAAGAAAAAAAAGAAAAAGAAAAGAAAAAAGAAGAAAGCAAAGCCGAGATGGTAATCTAACGCTCAACTGTCAGTTTCGATTCGAAGAAATTCGAAAACCAGGTAACGATCACTACACCGCCAGTAACCACAAGTTTATTTCCTTGTCAATAAATATACTTTACAGCACTGCCAAAGCACTTTGAATTTATAAAGGGGTAAGTTTCTAAGAAACGATGGTGCTGCGTCGGTGAGAGAGTATAACAAGGTAATTTAGTATTATTAACGAGTTGATAACGTAAATTGGCCGCTGTAAAGAGTTTCAAATCTGACGTTTTGAGAAGTAGCCCGAAACGTCAGGGAAGAGGGCAGAGTCAGGACAGAGGAATACGGCAGGTCGGAATGTTAATTACCAGAACTACGCTCCGATTGAATGCTACTTGTAAGGTCAGTCAAAGATAATTCAAGCGTATTGCGTTGAATGCAAACTTCTGCTTCGCAATGTTCCTCCTCTCTGTTCAAATTTCCTAGTTTCTTGCACACCAGCTCACCATTACACAAACTCACGACTTTCTCCAGAGTTTCTCGTTCCTTGCGCACCTTGCACACCGCTTCTTTGCGCTCTCATACCGTCTCGCTCATACCATCTGCGCTCTCATACCGTCTCTCAACAAAAACAACGTACGTGAGCGGCGACTACCTAAGCGCCACGTAAGCAATCTCGTGATGTATTTGCATCACGCTTAGCTGCGTAAAAAAATTGATGAATAACTGCGTTACTCGACGAAACGTTCTAGAAAGTTCCCTCGCACTGCGGTCAGCATTACTAAACATTATGGATATCATTTATAAAAACAATAGTACTCATTAACACTGGGTTTGCTAATAACTCATAACACTTGGCATCGAGTTAGTTTGAGATACATTAAGAGATCTTATGTTTACACTCAAACAGATGATGAAGAGCACGATTTCCCCTCAATTGTATCACTTAAAGTTAGTAAAAAATGTGGATTTTTACTGACTTTAAGCAATCAGTAAATCAATCAAACTGCACTCTCCTGTTTAGAGCTCGGTGATGAGAGCTGCTTACTTGTAAATCTTACTAAAGATACAACTGACCCAGACTCAACTGATGGTAAAACTCCAGCTCTAAATATGCGATGGGGAACTACACAACAACGAAGTAAGTGTAGCAGGCAGTTTTTAAATTCTGGAATTCTTAGTGGATAAATGATTACGTTTACGAGCAAATTGCTATATTGAAAAAACCCTGTAAATGAATACCGTCAGTTGCAGATGAGAAAAGTTTGCCTTCCATTTTGCTATTGTCGAATGATTTGAAGAAAAATTATAATCTCAATATGATGTTTTAATTAAAAGGGTTTTTTTTTTCGTTTTAGTTTCAACAAGCGGCGCCAGCGACTGGCAGGCATGCAAGGACTCACACTGAAATAACAGAACAACATCCGTTTTTCATAAAATTATAATTTTCCATCCTTGAACTTGAAAACAATCCGAAGATTCATTGAAAATATCACTTACTGCGAAGCGCTCGGAGTTTACAGATGTTCAAAAGCTTTTTCTGTTATGGCGTGAGATTAAGGACAAAATTGATCATTACCTCTCGTCGCGTGTGTTTTTCCTGTGTGAAGCAACAAAAGATGCCGGCGACTGAGGAAATTACAAGTTAACACGAAAATCAAATAACACCTAAACAAACAATTTTAGCTACCGATTTTCAGTGAATTTTTAAAGAACAATTTTCTTTTAAGTTTCAAGACAATTTGAAGATTCAATATACATACAATGTACTAAAATGCGAAAGTTATACACCACAAAATTGATAAATAGGCCTGAAATGAAATTCTATCTTGTTATTGATTATACGTTGCCTAGCACGTGACTTAAATCTACCCAGGCGGAGATCCAAAATGACGGTGGCAGGCTTGGCTTAGTTATATCACTCAAAACTCGTTCCCGTTTGTCTCATTTGATAAAGAGGGAATCGTTAATGTTTTCATTGAGACAATATTGCCTTGATTTTCTAATATTTGCAATGATAGACAGTAAATTTCACTTTTCACCCACATTTACTTCCAACCTTTTCTTTTGAACCAGAAACAAAAATGATAGACGATTAAAACACATGACATCATCCACCCTTGTCAAATGTAATAGCATGATCATTTCAATTGTAATGCCTTCTTATCCCAACGTTACTTTGTTTCTTTGCTACATTAGCGAACACCGAACTACTGCTCGTACTCCAGATATGACAATCAACCACAAAATTCCCTAAACCATATAACTTTAAATATAATCTAAAAAATCATGTGTCAATTCACGAGTTTGCTCACAGAGCACTTTGATTATCTTGGGACCCCTCTTTTGGTCATTTGTGTAGCAAACGTTGTTATTTGGAGAAAGCAAAAGTCTCCCTTCGAGAACAATAATCATGTAAATATAGAGTTTAAGTTAGCTAAAACATTATTGTTGATAACAGGAGCTTCTCTATTTACTTGGCTTCCATTTCAAATTGTAAATTTCTTGTTTGAATTGGACGTCGGTATAGTAATTTCCACCTATTTTGGTTCAAGACAAGATTTATAATCAAGTTTTTACAATTTAGCAATTCTCCCGTAAACGTAATAATTTATGCATTCAGAATTCCAGAATTGGAGAATGCTCTCCTGAAGATCTTTCGCTGCTGTTAAGTTTCTGTCGGTTGGAACTTTGATGCATCTTCAAGGGCTGTATGTGGGACTGGTGTACAAATGGATTTCAAAGGTAATGACTTTTATCTAGCCAATGAACTTGGATCTCCAGTCTTACCTGCCTCGTGGGAAAAAGATCAAATTTGCTGTACAGCGAAGATGAATCATATCAGAACGTTTGGACCAGTACAATTACAAACGAGAGCATATGGCACGTTACACTTTTCAAGCAGGAGGTGCAAACGGCGAATTTGTAATTTTCTTTTTCACAAAAGTGTAAATTATTAAGTAAAGGATGTATAACTAATCAGTTATGATATTAAATGCGATTCTTCGATCTAAGCTGCCTTTATAGATAAATTTTTTTAAATTTTTAGTGCATTTTCATTCAAAAACAAAACAAAATAAAAACAAAACAAAACGAAAAAGAAAGAGAGAAATTTGTTTTTCGAATAATAGTTTATTGTGCTTGTACACCCCTGACGGAATATTGCAACGCTTCAGCGTTAGATAGCGAATCCTAGTCATATTCGCAATTGCAACGTAATTTGGTATCAATGTCTGTTTCAGTTTAAAGGGATGTTACTAATCCGTTGTCAGTTTCGTAAACTTTTTTTTAAAAAGGGCCTTCTAAATCATTTTAGGATAATACTTATTACATTCCAGGAAAGTAGCCTTAATAAGCTATTCGCGTTCTATTACAAACGCTGCAATTTGATTGGCTACGCTACTCTTTATCTATTCCGTAACAGCCGGATAGTGATTAAAGAGAATGACCAAAGAGTGTGCAGTTGTAAACAAAAGAAAATTAAAACTTGAACTTGTCTTGTTATTAAATATCGAAAGATGAATAAGTAGTTTTTCCAAAAACGTGTATATTATTCTCTCTCACAATCTCTGCGTGATAGTTGATTCAGGCCTATTCAATTATTACACGTTAGAAACCTTGCGCTCAAAATCTGATTTATTTATTTTCATTTATTTGATTATCTATTTTCGATATTTGTACGGGGTGGCCCGGTTTAACTGGTTTAAATGGATGCTTGTGTAAACAGTAACAAGGCCAAATAGCAACATTAGAACTATGTTCCCTGCTATTTGCGAAAAAGAAGGAGGATTATTTAACGTCCCCTGCAAGCCAGTACAGAAAAAATGCAAGAGACGGGGCCGAGGGTTTATCGCCATTATCCGAGAAGACTCGAATGTCTATCGTTTGCAGATGTCACAGCAAAGGCAACAT